AAAGTACATTGGTCCCACCCGAACTGTGGAATTCTACGAGACTGCATCTACAGGACTCCACAGAAACGCCGATACATGAAGCGAGCTTCGCTGCCACTATTTTGTTGTATTCGGGGGCTGCGGCTGACCCGTCAATCTGATACGAAAGCTTGAGTGCAGGGATGGCGGTTCTTTTTGGTCGTTGAATTATCGCCTGGCAGTTCCCTATGTTCGCATTGTCGTGCAGAGGAATGAGCCCCACTTTTGCATTGCTTGGGCGCTGCTTACATCCGAAGTCACTCTCTCGCTGAAAACTCCCTTACATCTCACTGTCGCACGGTTTCGGCTTGGTTGGCATTATCCAACGGGTAACTGTTTTGAATGCGAGGTCGGGCAATTTTCGGACATGCGTTTTCGTCTTGGCGCCGTGGACATTTCCTTCACCCCCTTCTCATAGCTACACGGATGGGGTGAGACCTTCTCTCAGTCTCTGCGTCATTCCCGACATTGTGCGGCCGAGTATTCGCCTGGCCGTGGATGCTCATTGCAAAGCCGATAGGAGGTTCCTCTGCATTCCAGTTTGGCCATTTTTTCATGGCGGAACCGAATGGAGCGCTCTTGGAATGGCTCCTCGCCTTCGAGGGATCGAGGTGTTGACAGGTCTTTCTCGGCGGAAGCTGGCAGAAGGCGGCGGAAGTTAAAGGGGGCGGCTGCTCCGGCGGAAGCCGGCGGACGCAACAGTTTGTCATCCAAGAGATGCAAGTTTTTATAGGGGTTCCGGATTTCTGGAACAAGCCACATGGGTCTGCCTTTCCAAGCCCCTTCCCGAGAAGTCCCAGACGCCTGAGCTTGGCCACCTCTCCTTGCTGCAGCCCTCGCTAGCCTTGACTCTGTCGCAGGCCCATGCGGCGCGCGTCTATCCAGCGGGCGCTTCAGCAGCGAATGGGGATACATGTGGTCGTTCATGCTGAGGGGGCCTGGAAGCATGACTGGTTTGCGTAGATTCTGCTTTGGTGGTTCGTTTCCCTCCTTGCCGTTCCCTCCCTCTCTCCCTCCTCCATCTCCTCCCTCCCTGTCCTCCCTCCTCGCCCCTCTCTCCCTGACCCCACCTTCCGTTCTCATCCACCTCTGTCTCCTGATCTTTTCTTCTGTTCTCGTCAACCTCTGTATGCTTCTCTTCCTCTTCCTGATCTCCGTGGGCGAGAACCGTGTCCATATCCACGGCCTCGCGGACCCGGCCCTTGGGCCGCGACCCCATGGATGCGGGACAGATTCATGCGGATGGCCTGGGCGGAGCGTATCAATGCGACCGTGTATCCTATACACTACATGACACAGGTGCTTCCACTTTGCTCGCTGCTGTCGTCATTCCCGGCATTGTGCGGCCGAGTATTCGCCCGGCCGTGGATGCACATTGCTAAGCCGATAGGTTCCTCTGCATTCCAATCTGGTCGTTTTTCGTGGCAGGACCGAATGGAGCGCTCTTGGAATGGCTCCTCGCCTTCGAGGGATCGAGATGTTGACAGGTCTTCCCTGGCGGAAGCTGGCAGAAGGCGGCGGGAGTTAAACGGGGGCGGCTGCTCCGGCGGAAGCCGGCTGACGCAACAGTTTGTCATCCAAGAGATGCAAGTTTGTAGGGGTTCAGGGTTTTTGGAACAAGCCCCTTCCCGAGAAGTCCCAGACGCCTGAGCTTGGCCACCTCTCCTTGCTGCAGCCCTCGCTAGCCTTGACTCTGTCGCAGGCCCATGCGGCGCGCGTCTATCCAGCGGGCGCTTCAGCAGCGAATGGGGATACATGTGGTCGTTCATGCTGAGGGGGCCTGGAAGCATGACTGGTTTGCGTAGATTCTGCTTTGGTGGTTCATTTCCCTCCTTGCCGTTCCCTCCCTCTCTCCCTCCTCCATCTCCTCCCTCCCTGTCCTCCCTCCTCGCCCCTCTCTCCCTGACCCCACCTTCCGTTCTCATCCACCTCTGTCTCCTGATCTTTTCTTCTGTTCTCGTCAACCTCTGTATGCTTCTCTTCCTCTTCCTGATCTCCGTGGGCGAGAACCGTGTCCATATCCACGGCCTCGCGGACCCGGCCCTTGGGCCGCGACCCCATGGATGCGGGACAGATTCATGCGGATGGCCTGGGCGGAGCGTATCAATGCGACCGTGTATCCTATACACTACATGACACAGGTGCTTCCACTTTGCTCGCTGCTGTCGTCATTCCCGGCATTGTGCGGCCGAGTATTCGCCCGGCCGTGGATGCACATTGCTAAGCCGATAGGTTCCTCTGCATTCCAATCTGGTCGTTTTTCGTGGCAGGACCGAATGGAGCGCTCTTGGAATGGCTCCTCGCCTTCGAGGGATCGAGATGTTGACAGGTCTTCCCTGGCGGAAGCTGGCAGAAGGCGGCGGGAGTTAAACGGGGGCGGCTGCTCCGGCGGAAGCCGGCTGACGTAACAGTTTGTCATCCAAGAGATGCAAGTTTGTAGGGGTTCAGGGTTTTTGGAACAAGCCCCTTCCCGAGAAGTCCCAGACGCCTGAGCTTGGCCACCTCTCCTTGCTGCAGCCCTCGCTAGCCTTGACTCTGTCGCAGGCCCATGCGGCGCGCGTCTATCCAGCGGGCGCTTCAGCAGCGAATGGGGATACATGTGGTCGTTCATGCTGAGGGGGCCTGGAAGCATGACTGGTTTGCGTAGATTCTGCTTTGGTGGTTCATTTCCCTCCTTGCCGTTCCCTCCCTCTCTCCCTCCTCCATCTCCTCCCTCCCTGTCCTCCCTCCTCGCCCCTCTCTCCCTGACCCCACCTTCCGTTCTCATCCACCTCTGTCTCCTGATCTTTTCTTCTGTTCTCGTCAACCTCTGTATGCTTCTCTTCCTCTTCCTGATCTCCGTGGGCGAGAACCGTGTCCATATCCACGGCCTCGCGGACCCGGCCCTTGGGCCGCGACCCCATGGATGCGGGACAGATTCATGCGGATGGCCTGGGCGGAGCGTATCAATGCGACCGTGTATCCTATACACTACATGACACAGGTGCTTCCACTTTGCTCGCTGCTGTCGTCATTCCCGGCATTGTGCGGCCGAGTATTCGCCCGGCCGTGGATGCACATTGCTAAGCCGATAGGTTCCTCTGCATTCCAATCTGGTCGTTTTTCGTGGCAGGACCGAATGGAGCGCTCTTGGAATGGCTCCTCGCCTTCGAGGGATCGAGATGTTGACAGGTCTTCCCTGGCGGAAGCTGGCAGAAGGCGGCGGGAGTTAAACGGGGGCGGCTGCTCCGGCGGAAGCCGGCTGACGCAACAGTTTGTCATCCAAGAGATGCAAGTTTGTAGGGGTTCAGGGTTTTTGGAACAAGCCCCTTCCCGAGAAGTCCCAGACGCCTGAGCTTGGCCACCTCTCCTTGCTGCAGCCCTCGCTAGCCTTGACTCTGTCGCAGGCCCATGCGGCGCGCGTCTATCCAGCGGGCGCTTCAGCAGCGAATGGGGATACATGTGGTCGTTCATGCTGAGGGGGCCTGGAAGCATGACTGGTTTGCGTAGATTCTGCTTTGGTGGTTCATTTCCCTCCTTGCCGTTCCCTCCCTCTCTCCCTCCTCCATCTCCTCCCTCCCTGTCCTCCCTCCTCGCCCCTCTCTCCCTGACCCCACCTTCCGTTCTCATCCACCTCTGTCTCCTGATCTTTTCTTCTGTTCTCGTCAACCTCTGTATGCTTCTCTTCCTCTTCCTGATCTCCGTGGGCGAGAACCGTGTCCATATCCACGGCCTCGCGGACCCGGCCCTTGGGCCGCGACCCCATGGATGCGGGACAGATTCATGCGGATGGCCTGGGCGGAGCGTATCAATGCGACCGTGTATCCTATACACTGCATGACACAGGTGCTTCCACTTTGCTCGCTGCTGTCGTCATTCCCGGCATTGTGCGGCCGAGTATTCGCCCGGCCGTGGATGCACATTGCTAAGCCGATAGGTTCCTCTGCATTCCAATCTGGTCGTTTTTCGTGGCAGGACCGAATGGAGCGCTCTTGGAATGGCTCCTCGCCTTCGAGGGATCGAGATGTTGACAGGTCTTCCCTGGCGGAAGCTGGCAGAAGGCGGCGGGAGTTAAACGGGGGCGGCTGCTCCGGCGGAAGCCGGCTGACGCAACAGTTTGTCATCCAAGAGATGCAAGTTTGTAGGGGTTCAGGGTTTTTGGAACAAGCCCCTTCCCGAGAAGTCCCAGACGCCTGAGCTTGGCCACCTCTCCTTGCTGCAGCCCTCGCTAGCCTTGACTCTGTCGCAGGCCCATGCGGCGCGCGTCTATCCAGCGGGCGCTTCAGCAGCGAATGGGGATACATGTGGTCGTTCATGCTGAGGGGGCCTGGAAGCATGACTGGTTTGCGTAGATTCTGCTTTGTTGGTTCATTTCCCTCCTTGCCGTTCCTTCGCCGCGCTGCCCTCGCCGACCCTTGGGCAGCTGGCTGCGCGCGCCGGGGCCCCGCCACGGGCGCGCCCCGCGCCCGGGCGTGCAGCCCCGCCCGGTCGGAGGCACGTCCGCGCCCCGTGGAGCTGGCGGGGGGTCATATATGGACGAGGGCAGCTCCGCTCCAGAGCGTTCGGGAGACGGAGCGTGCCGGAAGGCTCGGAGGGGGCCGCGGCGCCCGAGGCATCCTCCAGAGCCGCCGGATCTCAGAGGTGCTCGATGTGTCCTCGCCCGGATTTATCCTCGTCCTGGTTTCGTCTCAGGAAACGGTCCAGCATTGGTTCTGGCGGGCAGGAAGAGGGCGAGGTGCAAGGTTCTGGGCTCGAGGAGGTTTGTTGCTTGTTGTCGGCCTCCTGGGGCCAGTTTCGGGCCACGGGACTGTCAAAAACGGGTCCGAGAAAAACACCAGATTGACTCTGGGAGGAGTTCCGTCCAGAGACTGATTTGAGCGGATTTGATTTCGCCCACCCACCCCTCTCGATGGAATTTTGTCAGTGCCCATCCAGATCAGACCCCAGGGGCTCAAACCGCGCCCCTCCCCCCCAGAGGCGGCTGGATCGACAGTTGGGGCGGCAGATGTTGTTCGCTCCTTTCAAGATCCACGCGCTGCAACTCCGTAACCATTTTGGCTCAAGGGCACCTTTGGCCCCCCGTGGGGCAGCGCCTGCGGAGCGCGCTGCTGCCGCTGCCGCGCGGGGGGCGGCGGCGCTCCCCCGGCCGCCCCGCCATGGCCGCCTGCGCCCCGCCCGACACCTGGAGCCTGGACAGCATCGAGCTGCAGCCGCTCTCGCAGGGCCTGCAGCATGTGGAGCCCCCCGCCGTTGCGCAGGGCGCGCCGGCGAGGCCTGCGTGGCGGCGCGGCAGGTGGGCCGCCCCGGCGCTCCTCGCTCTTGCCGGTGGCGCGGGCAGCCTTCTGGCCGCGGCCACCCCGCGGCCTGGGTCGGGGCGGCGCCACGAAGGCATGGCCAGGCACGCGGGCCCACTGCAGCAGGTGGCCGCCGGGGCAGTAGGCGAGGCGACGATGTTGGCCAGGGTCGGTGCGTCCAACATCTTCGACAGCATCGCGGAGGAGATCTACGAGCAGGTCGAAGCCACGGTGAACGCGGAGAACCTCACAGACGAGCCTCCGGGACAGACGGTCGATGGGGACAAGGAGTGGGAGATAGTGTTCCAGGGCGTCGTGCGGGTGCGGAACAGCACGAATATGAGTTCGGACGACAACATCATCGATACAGTTGGCCCACAGGGCGCCATCGTCGTCGGCGAACCCAAGGATGGCTGGTTGAAGCTTCTCAACCGGCCAGGGTACATCAAGATCAAGGCGGGCGACGAGGTGCTCCTCAAGCACAGGAATGTCACCTACATGATCATCCCACACGGCTCATGCAGTCAATTTGGGGGTCCAGAACATTTTCTTGATATTGTTGATGCCGAACAAGGAATGCGGAACATCACGGACAACTACTCGTGCCTGGCGGCTGGAAAAAGCATGGGCCTGAACGAGGCTGCAGTCCTGACGCCAGCCCTGGTCTGCACAGTGAAGGGCGACGGCGGGACGAACCAGACGATCTGTTCCTCAGGCATGTACCAGTCGTACGAGGACGACCCCGCTGACTCTGAGCTCCTCCTAGAGCCCACGCCTGCGCCGCCGGCGACCATCCCTCCCAGCAACACGACCACAGCACCGAACACGACCGCAGCACAGGAGGCCGCGGCGACCACCACCACCGAGCAGGTCGAGTGCGACGGGTGCTGCCCTGGGGATCGCGACAAGCCCACCGTTGTAATCGAAGATGCTTACGGCGAATCACCGCCGCCCCCTGCCGTTTGGAATCGCCAATGTGGCCGAGCGTTGTGGCAAAACCTCTACCAAGCTATCGAGTCATATATTCCCCCAGCCCGTGTAGAAACCCTTCGGGGAACACTCGGGGGAGGATGGCGGGGAAGATCAGGAGGAGGAGGAGGCATCTTGGGAGCCTATGGGGACACTGGGGGCCTCCTTGGAGCTTCCTGGGAGCCTTTTGGAGACCTCTTGGGGGCCTCCTTGGGCCTCTTGGGGCCCTTTGGGGGCTTCTCTCTCGGGGGCCTCGTTAGCCGTCTTGGGGTATTCCTGGCCCGTCTGACGCCGTCGGAAGCCGTCTTGGGGGCCTCTTTGGGCCGACTTGGTGCCCTTTGCGGTGCTCCAGGCCTGGCTTGGAGGCCATCTTGGGCGTTTTTGAGACCGGGCCTCTTGGGCCGTTCGGGCGCCATCTTGGAAGGCCTCTTGGGCGATCTTGGGGCGACCTTTGGAGGCTATTGGGCCGATTCGTGCCGTTGGAAGATCGACCAGAAGCAAATGCCCAAATCTTTCAAACACCCGAGGGAAACCAATTAGTTTGGCCTCTTCGGGCCTTCCTCGAGGCTCTCTGGAGGACCTCTTCGAGGCCTCTTTGGTCGTCTTGAGGGCCTCTCTGTGCCGACTTGAGGTCCTCGTGGGGTGCTCTTGGACAGTCTTGGAGGCAATTTTGAGCGTCTTAGGGGCCTCGTGGGCCGTCTTGGGGCCCTATTGGGACCGTCTTGGGGTCGCCCCTTGGGCAGTTCTGGGGCCTCTTGGGGCGATCTTTAGGGGCTCTTGGGCCGTCTCGGGCCGTCGGAGGACCGAAGAGAAGCAAATGCCCAAGTCCTTCAAAAACCTGGTGAAAATCTATCATTTTGGCCTCTTCGGGCCTTTCTGGAGGACCTCTTCGAGGCCTCTTTGGCCGTCTTGGAGGCCTCTTGGGGTCCTCTTGGGTAGTCTTGGACCATCTTGAGGCTATGTTGGGCCGTCTTGGATGCATATTGGGCCGTCTTGGAGGCATCTTGGGGTCATCTGAGGCTCTCTGGGGGCCACCTTGGCCGTCCTGGAGGCCATCGTGGGCGTCTTGGAGGCCTCTTCGGTCGTCTTGGGGCCCTCTTGGGGCCGTCTCGGGAGCCTCTTCGACCGTTATAGAACCATCTTGGAGGGCTCTTGGGCGATCTTGGGGGCCTCTTGGGCCGTCTTGGGCCGTCGGAAAGCAGAAACAGGAAATGCCCAAATCCTTCAAATACCTTGAAAATTAATGATTTGGGCATCTTCGGGCCTTCCTGGAAAACCTCTTGAAGCCCTCTTGGGCCGTCTGGGAGGCCTTTCGGAGGCCTCTGAGGCCGTCTTGGGACTTCTTGAGGCCGTCTAAGGCCGTCTGGGGTGCATTTTGGGCTGTCTTGGAGGCATCTTGGAGCCATCTTAGCCGTCTTGGAGGTCATCTTGGCCGTCTTGGAGGCCATCTTGGGCCATCT